TTTTACATGCCAAGTCACTATTTAACTGAAAGCTACCCACTAGGCCTTTGAGCCATAGAATCTGGAAGTTGAAGTGCTCAGTGTTGTCAACTCCATTGTTAAACTGTTGCTTTTATTGTGCTTTTAATTTTTTTTCTACTTTATTTTCTAATTCATGTAAAGCACTTTGAATTGTTCATGTACTGAGTTGTGCTATACAAATAAACTTGCCTTGCCTTGAGAATTGGTTCTCCTATCAGGTGCTAAAAGACATCATCACCCAGTATGCAAATTTCATTATATTCAGCTGCAGGAAATTCTTAATTCCTTTGATTTCATTTTTGTTTTGTCAAAGCAAGCTAAAGGATCGACTTGCTCCACACTCACAAGGACAGAGTTTGCTGCTTTTATGTGTTGCCGCCAAAGTCAGCATTAATACAGAAATAAGTTTCCAGATTTTGGACAAGGCCCGGTTTTGAAATAAAGGTGCTACACAAATGTGTAGTTAAAATTATATTCTATAAATAACAGTTTATTTGACAATAATGGTTTGTCCTGTATAATGTGAATAATATTTCCAACTATAATGTCCCTTCTGCACTATTTTCCAACCTGATCTTCTCTGACTGATTTAATTAGGTCCTTTGGCAAATAGCCCCTTACTTTAAATATTTATTGCATCTTGATTGCAGCATCACTTTAATTTGAAATCAAATGATTTTATTGCAACAACTGACTCTGTTGGTAGAGAATGAACATCATGTAAAGAAAAGTCCTAAAGAATGTGTCATGTGTTTGTTTGCTTTGTGTATTGTCCCCATCCTCTGCCCTGTCAAACTGCTGTTTGATTAAAATCTTGCACGGTAAGAAAAAAGATATTTCTTTATATTAAAAAAATAGGTGAAAACACATTTTTTATATAACTTACACACTTGTGTCTAACCAGTATTTTGTTTATAATATTTTATATATAACTTTTTCCCTTCAGTAAACTACATATTGAATTTGTGAATATTCAGTATTTTAATGAATTTTAGAGCTCGGATCACATTAGTTCAATCTCTTCTAAAATTTGAAATCAAGATAACATTCCACAATTCATTTTCACATCCAGTCCTACAGTAGTTTCCTATTCTGCAGAAATTGAAGTCCTATGTATTAAAAGGCCCTTTAAGGGAAAAAAGAAAGACATAAACAGTACCTGTTAACATGATGAAGATCAAGTTATCCATGGTTTAAACCTTGAGAAAAGAGATATACATATAAATATCCAACAAAAGTTAGTATTAGACATTTTACGCCGATTTAAAATAACTCTAGTGTTACTTTTAAGCAGTTATTTCACACTGGCAATTTTTGTTTCTTACCTTTGAAGAGTTTACTGATCCAAAACAATAAGCACTTCAGCATTCTGTGTTCATGTCAGCAGTTAAAGTGCATTTTACCTGAATGTGCAGCTCTGTACAGTTCAGGTTCTTACAAGTGGGTGTAGTGTTCGTGTGAGAAACAAGTCAGATCAGTAATTAACATATAATTTCTTTAAGTACTTTTCCTCATAGCACTGTAAAAGGAGAGAATGAGGATGTAATTATAATTTTTGTTTTTCAATTCCCATGTTACTTATTTCCTGTATTAGTCTTCCACTTGTGCAAGGTTCTTGCTCCTGAATTTAATTTCATCCTGTTGATAAAAGGGGACATAAAATAAAAGCTGATTTTAAACAATTAAAGTGTCATATGAGAATTTGTGCATAGTCATTTTTTCAAATACCCATTTGACGTCATTATCAGGTGTCTTCTCAGGAAATCATTTTTATTAGTTTCTTATGTAACAATTCAAACTAGACATTTTGTATACTTTAGTTTGTTTGTACGTATATGGTAAGATTTCTAGGGCATTAGAACAAATAAACTGATGTCAATCTGCGACAATAAACTAGACTGACATGGACACCAAAAAATAATTTGTTACCTTTTTAACTTTAAATTTGTAAGTGTAAAAATATTACTAATATTCATCAACTTTTGGACTCTTTAAATAAGCAATGTTATAAACTGGCTCAACCAGTTCCACCAGTCTGAGGGATGGGTAGATAGATACAACCAGAAGCAACTGTATCATAAAAGATTTTTTCTAGATAATTCCTTTGTTGTGCTCTTTAAATACTTCCTTTTAAAAACTTCCTGCCAAGAGGCAAAGACAAAACAAAGTTAAACTCAGGTTGACAAAAACTCCGCTTGATTCAGCAAACTCAGCTTGGCTAGAGTACCCTAAACTGGCAAACACTCTGGGGTCGAAGTAGTGGCAATCAGCATCTTAAGAACACTCCGTTTAACGAGGAAACCATCCGCAGGTGTGTAAGGAGGCGGACCAGAACCAGGCGCCTCCTGGTGGATGAAGGGAGACAAACACAGAAAACACAGACACAAAAACAGGAGTCCTGACATAGTGGGTATATACTGTTGTGTTTTCTTTGTATATAATCATATTTAGACAACAGAATTTTACTATCAGCTAATTGGATGTAATTAACTTACACAATTGGGATCAGATGTGAAGTGCAGAAGACAACAGCTAAAATTTGATAGGGGTGTGGCTCAACTAAGAAAAATATATGAATATTTATGCTGTGACTTATTGCAGATAGACCTAGTTATTATTTCTGTTTTTGATTTCCATCACATCAAGGGCGGAGCTAGATGGGGGACAGAGGTGGCCATGGCCACCCTTACCCAATCACTGGCCATTTTTGATAATAGTAGGTAAGTAATGACAATGGAAAAGATGTCCCCCCCCCAGAAATTTTGTCCACTAAACCTTACAGGTAAAAGCAAGTAAATTAGAATATTTTGAAAAACTTGATTTATTTCAGTAATTGCATTCAAAAGGTGTAACTTGTACATTATATTTATTCATTGCACACAGACTGATGCATTCAAATGTTTATTTCATTTAATTTTGATGATTTGAAGTGGCAACAAATGAAAATCCAAAATTCCGTGTGTCACAAAATTAAATTTTGAAGACGCCTGGTGCCACAAACTAATCAGCTGATTA